GACTCACCGAGAGCGCAGTTCGGGTCGTATCACTACATCTCGGGCGTCGACGCCTCTTCATCTGCGTCTTTGGCCGCGTACATCAACTCTCTTACATACTCCTTCGAAGATAGCTCTGCCTGGTTCTCGAAAACACCGCAATATAAGGTCAAGAATGGATGCTACTGGTGAGTTGTGCGCCGCAGTCTTCGTATCATCTCCTGACCTCCTGGTCCAGCTGCTTCAACGCGTTCTCGCGGGTGGATATCCGCGTCGACGTCAAAATTCCGGGCGGCGTGAATGCATACGTTATAGATCTCCGCGGTGAAAGGTGCGTGCGGGTTCACAATTTTGCTGTGTACCTACGCTCATAGCCGATCCAGGCACGAAGCAACGCCGGAGATATGGCAGGAAACCTATGTATCTGCACTGCTGCGTGCGATACTGTACTCGGACGACCCGACGTACTTCCTGGACGCGTACCGCAAGCTCGATCCGATCACGTCGAGGGAGGGCGAGCTGAGGTTCCTGCAAGCTGCGGAGGCGCTGTTCTCGAAGGGCTGGCAGGTTGGGTCGGACCCCGAGATTCAGGTTGCGACTGTCGTCTCGAATCATCTCACGGCGGGCATCATGAAATACTTTGGCGACAGTGGGAGGTACCAGCAAGTCGCGAACTTGTTTGAAAAGCTTGCTGTGAGAGAGCCCGAAGTGGCTTCGTTGCTGGCAAGAAGTTACATTGGAATGAGTATGTGTTATCCTTCTATACATGGGTCTTTTGCTGACGTTGAGTAGATGAGGAGGTCAAGGCCGTGCAGATTATGGCGGCCGCGATGCGACAAACGCCTCAATCATATACCCTTCTCCACGTGCAGTGCGACTTCCTTCGGTCCAAAGGAAAGCAAGAATGGGCGCTCAAACTTGCAAGACAAGCCGTAAATTGTGCACCAAGCGAGTTTGTGACTTGGGAGAAATTGGCAGATTTGTACATCGACCTTGGCCAATTCGACGCCGTACGTTTCCCTTCTCTGTATCTAATTCATTTCCTCTAACAACTTTCCTAGGCTCTCCTTACACTCAATTCATGTCCCATGTTTACTTTCAACGGACGAGACGCCCACCGCGTGCTCCCCGCCACGAAAGTGCACCTGCCCTTCCAGCGGCAAATCGGAGAGATCCTCCCCGAACGGCACAAAACCGACGACGACGACGCGGAGCCCGCGCTGCAGCGCCTGCCGGCGCCCGGCCTGCGCGGGACCTGGGCCCGCGCGTACGCGCTCCTCACGCGCCTCGTGTCCCAGATCGGGTGGGATGAGCTGCTGAAGACGCGAAGCCACGTCTTCGTCATGGAGGAGGAGTACCGCATGCAGAAGGCGCAGGGCGACATCCAGCAGGCGCTCGGGTCGGGCTCGCTGGGCGGCGAGGCGTCGTCGCCGAGCGATGCGGGGGGCGTGGTGATCCATGAGGATGGGACGGCGGTGAGGCAGTCCGTGGACGATGCGGCGTCGACGCGGGGGATGATGGCGCCGCCGTCGCCGCCGCTCGGTGCGACGGAGAGCGGGGAGCTGGATGTGCAGCCGTCGGCGACGATCCCGACGATACGGATTTCGACGGAGAGTTTGCGCGATAAGGCCAAGGATGGAGAGCCGGAGGTGACCAAAGTCAATCCTGAGGATGAGGAAGATGAAGATGAAGAAGACGTCCTCCCTACTGGGAATAAGGGCAAAGGAAAGGCGGAGGAGGTGGATGAGGGCAACGAGGGAGAAGGGAAGAAGGACGAAGACGATGGGGAAGGCCAGGTGATCTCAATGCAAAATGGCAATGCGCAGACGAATGGCATCAATGTGCATGGCCCAGTCAAGCCTAGGCAGGCTGCTGGCGAAGGAGAGCAGAATATCAATGAGGCGTCTCCTGCGGCCACACAGGAACCATTCTCGTTCAGTACCAAGAGGCTCTGCGAGAGATGGCTCGACAATCTCTTCATGGTCCTGTATGAGGTATGCCAATTCTTATTTCCCTCCTCACTATTGCTCTGATCACTTGACTGTTCAGGATCTGCGCGTATGGACCATCTTCCGCGCTGAAGTCGCCCATTTCAAGACGCAGCACGTCGCGTACAGGAAGACGGGCCTGGAGTGGGAGATCCTCGGGGACCTGGGCCTGCGGCTGCACCACAAGGAGGAGGCGAAGGAGGCGTACCAGCGCTGCCTCGACAGCCCGCGCTACTCGCTGAAACCGTGGGCGAAGCTCATGGAGATGTACGCGGACGAGGGCGACATCCAGCGCACTGTGCAGACGGCCATCCGGGTCGCGGCGTATCAGTATGCGGATTATACGGAGATGTCGGTGCGTATCCGCCTTCGCTTGGAATACTGCATAAAATTTCTAAACTTTTGTCTCCTTTTCTGTTTTGCAGTATCCAACTCAGATCGCACGCGCGTTCTTCAAGCTCGGCCAGATTCATGGACACGCCAAGATCAACTTTACGCTTCTCAGCATGGGTCTTCCAGACCCCATTCTCAAAATTATGAACAGCTACCTGCAGTATGGAAAGACGTTCACAGTGGAAGGGTGCGACTTCTAAGCGTAAGCCGATGGTGTCATGTCCAGCCACTGCCCATCGCGGTGCTTTCGACTGGAAAGTATACAACTTAGACGCGGACTTTCTTTCTTTCTTTGTCTTGTTTTTTGAAACTCGATATTTTAATATGATGATACATACCTCTTCATTTTTTATTATTACCCGCTTGCGGTACTAGTTGTTATTGGCGTGCTCATCGCTGTCTTCTCTTTTTCTCTAATGGATATAGTTTTGGAACGTGAGTTCAACATTGAAATGCGTTTTTCGGGTGAAACGCTTCGCGTACGAGTGTGGATATGTTGGCAGGTGGTGGTTCTGCTCTAGTAAGCCTTCAAAGCTTCACTCAGGCCATAAGTAACTTGTATGATATCGTGGAATGACAAGCCTTTCAGTGCCATCCAGGCAACATCCAGGCAACATCCAGCTGCCATATAGCTGGGCTGACATAATCAACATGACCTGACTTGTCCATTTATTTTGACTTCGAACTCGACAACCACGTTCGTTGCTCCCGGATACCCCAACTAACTTTTTATATGGGTCGAGGCTGCTGAAAGAGCTCACCATCCATTCATTGCTATCCACCCTTCCTTGTTAGCCAAGACCCTCTCACATGTCGATAAGTACGTCTATTTCCAAAAGCCAAAAGACAGGAGCCTCTTTGCTCACTTCGGTGTTGCTTTAGATTTCAGCCTTTTCGGGGGCGCGGATTCGCTCGCGGAAGGACGCAAGTCGACGGATTTGGATACCCAACGATCACCGCGCCGTGTATTTGCTCCCAACGAGGGCAAAGAACCCGATGTGTACGCGCATACCGTGCCACCGCAGGACCCAAGCGAGTTTTTATGGCTGTTGACGGAGGAACCGCATCGATCACGGAGGATGGCTATTATGAAGGCGCATCCTGAGGTGCATTGATCTTTTTGCATCTGGTATTCTATGACGCTGATGGACGCTGTGTGTGTGCGCGTATGATAGGTGACGAAACTCATGGGACGCGAACCTCTCACGAAATACGTTGTTTTTAGCGTCGTATCTCTCCAAATTGCCACTGCCATTCTCCTACGACACCATTCTCCCATGTCGCCGTGGTTCATACTCGCGGCGTACGCGATAGGTGGAACGGCCAACCACAACCTGTTCCTTGCTATCCATGAGATAACGCACAATCTTGCTTTCTGCGGCATCGCACCGAATAAATTGCTGGCGATATTTGCGAACTTGCCGATTGGAATCCCATATTCTGCCGCGTTTAAGGTGTGCCATTCTGATTCTAGAGAAGTTGGGGCCCTGATTAATCGTTGTGGTGTAGGGATACCACATCGAACACCATAAATTTCAGGGCCAGGACGGCATCGACACGGATTTACCAACAAGACTGGAACTCATGGTGCTAAATAACGTACTTGGAAAGGTCTTCTTTGCGTGCGTCTAATCAAATACCCAAGCCACTCGCACATATCTGATCCCTTCTCATTAGCACCTTCCAAATCCTCTTCTACGCCCTGCGACCGACATTCGTGCGCTCACAGCGTCTGACACGATGGCACTTGCTCAACATCGTCGCGCAGATCGTGTTCGATTATATACTCGTCTCTACGTACGGCGCGCGCCCCCTCATATACCTCATCATGAGCAGCTTCTTCGCTGGAAGCTTGCATCCTTGTGCTGGTCACTTTATTGCCGAACATTACCTCTGGGACGGACTGGAGCAGGAGACGTATAGCTATTATGGCCCCTTGAATATCCTAGCATATAATGTATGTTTCTTCCTCTTCTTCCTCTCCAACCCTTTTGCTGATCATTCTTCCTTTTGAATAGGTTGGATACCACAACGAACACCATGACTTCCCCTCCATCCCATGGACGCGCCTTCCTACGCTGCGCGCTCTGGCGCCTGAATTCTACGACACCATCCCGTCGCACCCCTCGTGGCCGATGGTCATCGTCAACTTCATTAGGGACAAGGAGGTCGGCCTGTTCGCGCGGGCGAAGCGTCTGGGCAAGGGGAAACTGCTCCCCAGTGGGTGCCCGGGCGGTGAAGGCGGTGCTGCTGATACCCTGGATGTGGACTCAAAAGGGCTTAGCGATGAGGAGTATTCGGACAAGTCGGAGTGAGGACGGCATCCAGTGGGTTGTGAGTTTTGGTAATTGCTTTGCTGGTATATCAAAATTTGGAGTCTTGGGATAAGCAAAGACTCGATACTGACGGTTTTTATTTGTTTCGTCGATAGATTATACCTATGCATATTGTACTTAGGATGTCCTTCACAGAGGACATTCAATGGACCTAATGATTCACCTTGAATATGGGAAAAATCGGACAATTTTTTTTGGAATGAGGAACCTTCAGGCTTTGCGAGAGCGCTTTCTGCTGTCGTTGCACTACAACATTAAGACCAAACACAAAAATATAAAAACATTCAGTTAGAAAAACCAACACGCCGTCGTAGCACAATGGTAGTGCGTTGCTTTCCTACGTACCTAATCCAGGCAGAGGTTGTGGGTTCGAGTCCCACCGTCGGTTATGGTCAATGAATTTTTGAAGGTGTAGACAGCACGATTCTCTGTTATTCTGAGTTTCTGACCTTGAGTGAGACTCGAGAGCGTTCTGATATTTTTCCTGTTCCATCCGATCTCGAGTGGATACTGAAATTTGAATACACATGTAATATTGAAGACAACAGCAAAATGAACATGATAATGACAACATATGAAAACTTCAAAAGCTCGACAGACGTGGACATACAAGATAGCAAGTAACGGATACACAGATCAGACCTTCCAGATGCATACATAAATAGGAAACACTGCAATACTTCAGCTAGCAAGCCAACAAACCCCACCCTCCACCTTCAATCATACCAGTTATCCATCCCAGTCAACTCTTCATAATGGCGCAAGACCTTAGCCATATCGCGGCCATCCAAAAATCGGTTAGCAAGGAGTATCTTATCGTCAAAAGAAACAAGGTTAATAAATGCATGTATCTTGCTAAGAAAAAGAAGTCGGACGTACAAACAGCCAATAGCGCAACGCATCCCATCCCGCCGCTCTATGAATTATCTTCCAGTACTCGTCCACAAAAGCGATGGCACCTTTATAATAATTCGATATGAACTTATTCCTGCCCGCCAAAATAAAACAAATACGAAGAAAAGAAAAGAAAGTACGCCGTAAGCTTCACAAACTGACCCACAACCAGCCCATATAAAAGAAACCACCACTCACCGATTTAGCATAATCCACCGCATCCACAGCGCCTGCATCACCTTATACTCCTCCCTCACATCATCGCTCTCCCAAATCTCCTCCTCGCGATCAATCACATCCCAGTCCAGCACCCCGAACTTTTCCATTGGAAGCGTCCCGAGCAGATCAAACACACTGGGGCCAGTCGGGCGGCACGAGTAGTACACCGTCGGCCCGCCGTAGTCGGATTTCGCTGGTAAGTAAGGGGGCTGCGCGGCGGGGCCCAAGGGTTTGTCGGGCGGCGGAGGCGTGATGGCGCCTCCTGTTGAAGAACGCGGGGGGCGCTGGGTGGTGGCCGTCGAGGCGACGGAGAGACCGGTGTGCGAGCGGCTGGTGGCGGTAGAGATAGAGCGCGTGCCAGTGCCGGAAGTCGAGGAGAGGTCGAATGCGGAGGTTGACCGACTTGATGGAGGAGCGGTCGACGGGGTAGGCTCGAGCTTGAATTCTATTTTAGGGAGTAGGAACAGAGGAGTGTCGATGGCCCGCGGGGCGGGCGGAGAGAGGGAGACGGAGGGAAATGGGCTCATGAGTCGTCGAGTGTTTGGGGTTATGAACGAAGTAGAAGGCACTTGGGGCGTCGGTGGGTTTTCAGGCGTCGCAAGAGCAGATACTTCAGTTTTTGGAAGACTTTGAAAAAAATACAATGAATGTCAGTATAAATTATTTGCAGCCTGTACGAAATATAACATACTCGCTCTCTACGGCTTCGTTAATTTCTGGTATGAGAAGGCGAAGCTCCCAGTACTCGATTTCCTAATAACAAATATCAGCATCATGTCAACTTCCTTCATGATGATCGACCTACCTCTGTCTCCTCCTTTTTCTGCCACTCACAAAATACCTCTGCATGATCCCACCTCAAATGGCATTCGAGCATCTCCTGGGTCTTAACCATCCCAAGGAGATCACACAATGGACAGCACCACGCCTCAATGCGCGTCTCATATCTCACACCAGCGACATGCTCATACACCAACTCCAGACTGACCTTCCTTCCGTCCGTGAATACAGGCACCTGCAGCTTCCGACATCGTTTCAGAAATCCATGACGCAGGTTGCGGAGGAGGAACGGCAGTTGCTTCGTTTTCTGCATACGTATCGCGGAGAGCGTGAGCGCTTCGACGGCGGCGATGAGGCCGGCTGGGGGTTCAGCTTGCGGGTCTACGAGTTGGCGGTCAGGAACGGGTGAGGCTCGCCGTGGATAATCTAGCAAGACGATGTCAGGAATTTCTTGTACTGATTCGTCCATCTCGATGTCGCTCTCTGATTTCGGACTCGGTGGCTGTTCCCGTTCTTCCTCTTCGGAAGAGCTGCTGCTGTTACTTTTGGTTTTTGACGACTCATCAGATTCACTTGTAGATGCATTAGTATATTCCACTTTGCGGGCGGCGGATGTTATCTTAGTCCTATATTCCAGAAGAAAAAAAAAATTCTCAGTCAGACGCACTCATACAACAGCGGAGAAAGTGACGCACCCTATAGTCTTTCGGAGTGGTTTATACCGCGGTTCATCCTCGTCTGAACTTGAATATTGCAGCGTTCCATTGACGCGCAATCTCAGGGCTGGTGCGATCTCTGCGCGATCTCGGATCCCGTCTGCCATATTGACATCGCCGGGCGCTACCCCACCAGCAGGGCCTCCCCTTTGTCCTATACGCCTGACGAATGCCACGGCATTGCCACCTCGGTCGCGTTTTTTGATCCTTAGTATTTGTTGCTCGTGTTCCTCATCAAGCTGTTGCCACAGGGGCTTGAGCTCGACCGTGGACTTGGTGTTGACGGGCTGGGGCGCGTCGGGTTGCCGTCGGGGGCCTTGGGAGCTCGAACTGGGGTTTATACGCGCAGAGGTCGTTGGATGGGATCCCTGAGCTTGAGTATTCAGCGCAGATGAACAAAAAGAAGGAAGGCATGACGTAGAAAGCACGTACCTGCGCAAACCGCACCCTTGGGGACGCCGCGTCGCTGCGCGAAGACGATCCCCCTTGAGGTCGTCCGGTTTTCGCTGCAACGCTCAAAGGCGTATTCGCATGCTTGGCCGGTGTGGCATTGCGATTGACAGGGGCTTTATGGGCGACTAGGGAAGGGCCCGATCGTGATGGGGGTGTGGGTCCTGTGTATACGGGAGGGACGACGTAACCGTCGAGAGTATTTGGTTGTCGAGGTCGATTCGGAGTATTTACCATACGACTTGGGAGAGGCGGTCGTGCCCTCTGGTCTAATTGCGCATCGATTCTGAATGAGATGGCTTTTATTCGTTTAGTATAATGAATGCGGCTGCTCACCTCCACGCACCGTCGTCTGCGCCGCTGCCGTCGGTTTATTTGAGGACATCTCACCTCAATCACGGATTAAGTATTCTTCGTAACAGCAGGAGCGATTTACTCTAGCTTGGCTTTCGCATTTGAACCGGGCGCAACTAGGCAGATAGTCTTGAATCGACCGTGGTGGTACTAAGTATAAGTATGTACCGACCTCATGGCTCGTACTCTGCGTGTATGTTCTCATCAACGCCCATTGTTCACAAGCAACGTTCAGAAATCATTCCCACGCCTATCAAGCAATGAAAAAAGGGAGAACCAAAACGTAAAACCAACGTAAAACTCATGGATGAGATCTTGAGACGTCTTCCGATTATATAGAATATGGTACAATATAATACAATGTAGCGATATATCTAACCTCATCTAACAGTCACAAATAAAAGCGCAGTGTCAAATTGGAGAGAAAATCAGAATAATCAAAAGTTCATGAAAACTCGCCAGCAAAGTCCATGTCTATGTTACTACACGTGAATATAATTAGAGGATGTATGATAGAGATGAGTAATGCAAAGTTGAAAGAGTGATACAGAGCATGTTTTACAAGCTAACTGGCAGATGAATTAGAATTATCCCTTAATGCATCCTTTGCTGCATTGGATAGTTGGCCCAGGTGTTCTACGGGGAAAATTAGGTCAGAAGGCGGCACGTAATAATATTTTAAAAGAAATTTCAACATACTCTCAATCTCAAGAAGTAGGGTAGCCTTGAAACAAGAAAGGCGAATAATAATCAATGCAAACATCTATATGGTCAAAATTTGTACAATACCGTTCGATCTTCAGTCAGGGTTCGCTCTCCCTGCCCAATTTCTTCCATTGTCCTGGTAGAGCTACTTCGAGGCAGCGACCGCGTCGCGAGGAGAGACATCAGGTGGTCCACATGCCGTAACACATTAGCCGGAAGAGCACCCAAATTACCAGCGACCTGCATAGCCTGAGGTTCCGCCGAATAATTGCCATCCTCAGGGATCGGCAGCATAGGCGTAGCGCGATGGCTTCTAGCTAACCGCGGGCCCTGGCTGGATAAGGGCGGCGAGGACAGGAGCGGACTCCTCGAATCCGAAACAGCGGTCAGACTGCTGCTGAGAGAATTCACTCCTGCAGACGGTGTCGGCTCCCAGAGGTGCTGGGTCAGCGGCAGGGAGATGGTCCTGGAGACGGTGTCGGTTTTTCGCAAGCCTTCGGTCTTGATAGCGCTTTTATACGACTTCGAGTAAGCTTCTGCGAGAACTAGTGAATTGATTCAAAAGATCAGAAGGCGGAGTCAAGGGTAAAGTTAAATCAAACGGACTGGATACCAGAATTGTCACTGTTCCAACCCCAAGAAGGGCCCATACAATGAATATGGAACGTCCTGCTGGTGTTTTAGGAGAGAAATCGCCTTGTGATGATACGTCATTTTTGCAAGTGAACTGTGTAGAAGAAAATACACTCACCATATCCAACAGTCGAGAAAGAAATGAAGCCTAGATTAGAATTTGAGTTATCAGTAAGGAATGAATATATCGCATTGCGCACTCACAAAAGTACATCGCAGATCCGAAGGGCCATGCTTCTGTTTTCATGAAAATGGCAGAGCCACCCTGTCATTTATGATTAGCACAAGACAAACGGTGAACCGGGTACAAGGTACGCACCATCCAGAAGATGAAGAAAAGAGAGAGCGCAAAGATCAGCCGAGTATAGAAAGCATTCCGTCTGACAGTTTCCAACGACTCGGGGATATACACGGGATTGTCATCATCGTCCAAATCGTCCGGCAGCGTCATGGTCGCCGTCAAAGATCTAGGAAAGGTTTCATGCGGTCGAGTATTCTCCATTGCCGTGCCCTCGCTGCTATCACTCTGCTCAAACGAATCTCGCCCAGGACCAGATAACCCGTCGTTCAAGGCGAATGCAACATTATGCAGAAGCGATATCATGCCTACCATCCGGACATGCGTCAGCGATGGATG